CACCTTCTTCTTTGAGATAATTTTTTGGTCGGTTGTTAGGTGGCTCGTCAGGTCCGAAACGGTGAACCTCGTCTCCGCGCATGGTATGTGTTACACACCCGTGGCTGCACGGCATTGTCGACCAATCAGAGGGCGTAAGAATCCCGTGGTGACTACTGAAATCTTTCCCAAGCGCATGCTGCTTCGGCAATCACACTGCAGACAGTCGGGGGGCCTCTGTAGTGCGGGTTTTGTGGTGCGGGTGCCCGGTATTGTGCGGGCGAAGTTGGCTGGCACAGATGGAATAATCAAGATGGTTAATGCGTTGATGCTGCTGTCCTGCTATTGCTCTGCAAGTGCTGCTACTTGCTATATTTATGTTGCTGTTGCTGCTGCTACTGCTGCTACTGTTGGTATGTTGTTGCTGTTGCTGTTGCTCCACTTATTTGTTCATTTTTTCTTGAAGTGGGTTTTCCTGGCGCTATCAGGAGCATGAAGATGAACCATTGAACAACTCTCCCTTTTCGTCTTTTTTTCTCTCTCTCTTAAAAGGTGCCTGGAGCAACTGGGAAATTTCGCGGAGGTGTCGGAATACCCCAGCAGGTTAGTGGCTTCCAACGTGCCAGGCTTTTTTTGTGGCTAGAGAATTTCCGTTTTTTTGTATGAACCTTGCGTAGTTCCGGTTATTGCCTCAGGGTGCCACGAGAGCAAGTTTGTTTCTGGGATGTAGTAGCCTGTATACCTTATTTTTCGCGCATCAGTGCGCACCTTGTTTCAGGTTGTATGTTCAATACGAAGTAGAACGTTTTGGTTGGAGGTTTGGCCCTAAAAGAGATGCACGGAAACATGCCTGTTCTGTTTTTCCTTGGATACTGCCGATTTTTTTTTCTTTTTTGCCATCAAGAGCACAGCACCAAACGACACCCAGTACAAGTGGCCGACAGCCCGCGGCAGCATGGGTACCTAGTGGATTATATCCCCCTTAATTGTCTTCGCTATTCGCCGCCACCTCTGGCGAAGCAGGAAGGAACGGTTGGCTCTTCGGCATTTGGTCCTGTGGGGAAAATGCTCCGCCCTCTGTCGAGCATGATAACCATATATGACACAACATAACACACCCCCTGGACCAATTTTCAAAGCTCGATTACGCAACGACGAAGAGGATGCATAAATGAGGCAATGCATTTTCGGAAAGCTCTCGACGAGACAGCTTCAACGCCACCGTTTTCGGCCCTGTGACTCTTTCTTTTGTTGAGAAATCGAGATTTGAAAATCGGTCCAGGGGGTGTGTTATTTTGTGTCATTCACGGTACCTCCCCCTCCAACGACGATGACGAATATTTGGTTTATGCTTGTGAACCGCAGCCTTGGACGGCGAAAACCCGACAAACATCAAGACATGTCGCTCCGTCATCCCGGAATCGTGGTTGTACGGATGCAAGGTCAATGCTCTAACGATTACGGCATGCGTTTGCTTGAGTTCACCCCTACCCCCACCCCCACCCCTCTCTCGAAGGCGCGTGGTCATTGTCATAATAGCCAAGGCGTCCAGAACAACCCCGGCGCTGCTGTTGCCGCTTTTAGCCGAGGTTGGCAGGCGGCAAAAATGATAGGCGGAACGACAGTACCCACACTCTCATGCACTCAACGAATGCCTTCGGCTTCCGCGGCCTCTCGCCGCCACCACCGCTGCCCCCCCCCCCCCCCCCCCCCCCCCCCCCCCCCCCCCCCCCCC